TACCCACCCCCAAAATGGAACCAATATTGAATGTTGTCTAGGTTTCACAACATGCGGTACTTTGTTAATTCATATTGCATAGTCTGTTTGTTTGTTGTATATTTCAAAGGACTGGTGGTTCAGTTTCATTTCATACCAACCAATTCAAAGGCATTATTATAATCTACCTAGTTAGCATGTGAATAAAGTATAGGATGTTTTCAACAGTGCTAGAGTATAAAGAACTTACTGTGTTGTCAGGTATTGTAATTCTGGCAATCACTCTTTTAAGGAATCAAGGACATTTAGTTATGGCTATGTCAATGAAAGTTTTTGTTATTCCAGTGGTAAGGTTAGATTCAAATACAGGCCATATTTGTTAAAATTCTTGTTATTGTAAAGTAGTATCTGTGAATTCAAAAAACTTAGATGTCGTTTATTATTTCCAGCTCTGATTTCTAGGACTGTGCAGAACCTGATAGTGCTTTTAAAATAACTTGATCATTGCGAGAATATTATGTACCAGGGTACATCACATTTGATGATGTTGATCTCTCTTTCTGAACATTTTAACATAAAACCTAGTTTGCAAAGAGTCTGCTCTGTTGATTTAGGCCTGGTTGGTTTGATAGTTGTATTGATGAGGAGATCAACAATTGAGTGTTTGTGTGTGTGTGTGTGTGTGTGTGTGTGTGAGGCGGTGGCTGTTAGACATTTAGCTACACTGCACAGCAAAATATGACTCAGTTTGGAAATTATGTAAAAATAGTAAATTTCTTGAGGTAGTTTCTGTAAAAAAACACAAATCATAGTTTGTTAGATTCAATTGCACTTAGTGGAGTGTATGACTGGTTATCAGTGGACGTTGTGGTGGTTATTTCTATCATATCTTAGACTTGTTGGTTCCCAGACTACCTGTAGTTTATTATTACCATATGTAAGATGGAAGAATTAAATATGACTCCGATGTCAGGGTGATTTGTTGGAAAGTGTCCCCTCCATTTAAAGCTGCCCACCCCTGTAAGATAATAGTATCTCCCAATGTTGTTTACCACTTTTTTCCTTTGATGAATGAGGCCATAAGCCTGCATGACCTCAATTCGTGTACCATGTGACTTCACTTGTTAGGAGACAGCTTTGTGAAGAATAAATATATGCTAATTAGATTCAAATAAGCCGGCCGGCAAATAGCCATATTGAAAGTATGTATTTTCTGCTGATGTAGCACTGCCTTTCAAACCTAATTACTGTCAAACAAAATATTGGTAACATATAATTTTTGGCATTTTAATATCATTTTAGCTTTAATTGTGAAATTTGAAAGAAAAAAAATGTTTAGACAGATAGGTATTTTTCCAAAAAATCTAAATACTGGTTCCCCCTATATTTTGTGTTCCTGTTTGTATCCAGTCAATTTTGGCTGGTGTCTAAATTCAGTAATAACTATAAATTGGTTGATATTGTGTCCCATTGATCTACTTTGTGATCCTTGAACCATTGAACTGTCACTAACCCCAGTGAAGATAATAGATGGAGATGGGAGACAGTGCATGACTACTAGTTCAAACAATTTATTACAGCTGTGAAGGCCAGGCCAGGCCAGGCCAGGCCAGGCCAGGGTAGGGTAGGGTAGGGTAGGGTAGGGTAAGGTAAGGTAGGGTAGGGTAGGCAGAGAATCAGCTGAATTCGTCCAAGAATGTCAATATTTGGTCATATTTTGTTTCAAGACAGTTTTGGTGATATAATAATAATAATGATGATGTGAATAGTCTAATTATTCAATCGCAAGAATTTTAGTTGGATTGTTTGTACACAAATTATTTGTGCATTAAATTATACATTGTTAATTGTGACATAGTAGTTCCTTAAATATAGAAATTTTAAATTACATTACTGACCTTTTCACCCAAACAAAGCCATGCAAGAGAAACAGTTTTGAAAAATTTTCATAGAGATATTTTTGTTGCAACGAACATTTTGCTGAATCATGGTAACTTTCCTGAAAATTTGTATGACTGGCCCTCATCAGCAAATTTTCGAACGTAAAAAAATCCTCGCAATGGTTCGCTATATGTCTTACTTCTGGTAAACATATTTATTTTAAATATTTTTTCATGATAATAACTATAAACTAAAGTATCAAATCAGAAAATATATTTTTGAAAATGAGTTGTGTCAATTGTACCGGGTAATTGTAATTCTGTTAACCACAGATAATTAGAAAATTCATGGTCATGTTTATTTGAAGTGTAGAGGGCGCTGTTGAGGGTTGATGATCATTTTATCCCACTGTAAAATACTTTATATTAGCTGAAATTTATTTTCACTGATTTTTGACGAGTTGATTGTGAAATATAGGAACAAAGGTATATTCGCTGAATTTTATTTTCACTGAATAATACCTTCAGCGAAAATAGCGAAAATTAATTCTAAGCGATAATAAAGTGTTTTACAGTATTTGTTGTCTTCATTTTAAGCCCCCTAAAACAGGAATTATTATTATTACAAACATGCTGTTAGGTAATGAAA